GTATGCAACTGGCAATTATCTAGAATTATCTGTTTGTAGATTGTCATTTCTAAACGTGTGTTTGTTGTTATTTTAATGATATGGGTAATGTTCCTCTTTAACCTTGCAGTGGGGCTAGCCCTGCACTGCAAGAGGTAAGTGCTCATTTTTGTGTAGGGGCTAAAAAGTAAAAAAGTTATACTCCCCAGACCATCCGAGCTGGCTCCCCGCTTCTGTGAGCACTGATTTGTGTCTCCACCTCCGCTGTACAGATGGATTGCTCCTTGGCGTCCTCACATCTATACACAGTGTATAGAGTGTGATGATAAGCAGGAGCCTTAGACTGCTGCAGCAGATGGGAAGAGACGCTCGAGACACTGGTCTAAGAACAAGCCAACTCGGTTTGTCTGGTGAGTATAACCTTTTTCTTTTTTTTTAGCACCTAGACACAAATGAGCACTTAACATTTGAAGTGCGGGGGTGGCCCCACTGCAAGGGTTATTTAAAAAGTTTCATGGAGTTTTTCTTTCAGCCAACAGAGTCACCTCCCGGTGTATATACTTATATTTCTGGTTTCCCGTGTATTGAAAAGCCGCTGCATCTCTGCCTCCTCTCGCCTCAGCTTTTGAGTGTATTTGATCGTTGGGTGAAACAAATACTTCCTCTCCTGTGGGCCATTGTGGTTTTTACCTCTGGCTCCTATTTCATGTAGTATGAGCCGGTGGGAAGAACTATAGTGGCCTAAGGGGAAGCAAGAGTTCTACACAACCAAAAGTGTAGAACACTTGCGGAGCGATATGTGGCGGCATTTTACAGGTTTTTACTGCTATTTAATCTTATTCATTTGAAAAATGTCCACTTGCTTCCTGTTCTGCTGACATTTTACCAGACAGGAAGTGTAAGGAACTCTTCAACAGAAAAGAAATCAAAATGGTTTTCTTTAAGGTAGGGCAAGGCTAAAACCCTTGTCAGATTTGTATTTGTCTGTATCCCTGTTGCAGATTTCCCCCTCACTTCCTGTCTGGTGAAACCATTGTCACCAGGCGGGAAATGAGAGGAAATAGCAGTAAAAACTAGACGGGGTTCCTATCTTTCTCCGCTCTATCCAAGAAAAAAAGTTATCCTTGACATTCACTTTCATTTTAAGTGAAAAATGACAACTGGCAGTGATGCGTTTCCACTGGTAAGTCTGAATAAAGGCATATGGCACGTTGTGGTGCTTGAGTGAAATACCCTACAAGGTACAGGACAGATGTAAACACTTCACAGAGTTGAAACTTTTAATTATCAAGAAGAGTTTGCGTAAATGTCATATAAAGTAGAAGATCCCTTTTATGTGTACGTATTTAGGACCGTTTGCAATCTTTCAATATTTTCCCTATCTTGTAATTGTAAGAACTGTTATTGCTACTATAAAAAGATAGCTATTGTTCTATCTGAAAACTTAATGGTTGTATTTGTCTCAGAGATGGGGACAGCAGACAGGTGGAACCTCTGGACCCACCCGGAGAATGTGCTCCTGGGGAGCGAGTCTACATTGAAGGATATGAAAATGGGGAGCCAGAAGCAGAGCTTAAGGCGAAGAAGAAAGTGTTTGAAAAGTTGCAGGTATTTGTTTCTCCCCTTATATGTCTATCACCTTGTTTCATGTCCCTTCCTTTTTTATATGGGTGTCGCATTCTAATTTCCACCTTTTTTTCTTTCTTTTCTAGGCCGACTTTAGGATCTCTGAAGATTTGCATGCTCAGTGGAAAGAAAAGAATTTCCTAACTAAACAAGGGCCTGTGACTTGTAAAACACTACGAGGGGGCAGCATTAGCTGATTGCATGGAACGTTGCATCCCTTGCACTCAATAGATATCGTTTAACACATTCAATGCCAGAGGGCTTAGGCCCATAGCTAGATATCATTTAAATGTCCTGCTATTTATATCAGTAGGTGCATGTGACTGGGACAGCATTTGCAAACACCATTCCCACCACCTGGTCATCACTGAAGAATGTATATTGTGAAAATAAAGAATTATCCCATATCTTACATTGTTTGGTTTTTTTTGTGCATTAACAGAAGACGACAAAGATTGGTTGTTTTTTTTAACAGCATTTATAAAAAGATTTTCATACAGATTTTCAATCAAAGCTTCTGACATATTGTTGTCAACTAAAAGCAGAAATTCAGCTTGGTCTTTAATACATGGGCTGGGTCCAGTAAAAGTCTGTAATAATGTTTATAGAAAGGCATTTTTGTTTCCCGCTTTACAAAAAATGTTTACATTCATATTCAAGTGGTTTTTACAGCCTTCTTTTTTCCTGTTTAAAGGGTAGCGCCCAGTAAATGGTGTTCAGCACAGGTGTTGATGGCATCCATAAATTCACGCCCATCATCTGCCAGTGTAAACCTCTAATTCTTCCTCTTGTATCTGGCTGGAGAGGTGAGATTTGATAAAGAAAACTCATTTACTAACCGCTTGGACTATTTCCTATTCTCCCTCTCCACTTTTCTAATATGCAGAAATCGCTCTCCCTGCACCCTCTGACCACTGTTTTGGCTCACTCAAGGCCTGGTGCTGTATTGCGGTACAGACTGCGATTAGTGGTCAGAAAGTGCTACTGATTGGCTGACTGAGGAGTCAGTCAATATCCCAAAGATTTCTCCCAGCTGACACAGAATCTCTGTCAGCGAACTGCATTTAATGTATACCCAGAAGTGTTTTGAGGACACTAAAGGCAGACTGTCATCCTAAAGTTCCTCTTTTTGTCAACACCATATGGCTGTGAGTGATGACATTGCCTGGAAGTGTGTTTGCTGGGAGTTGGGGAACTTGCATTAGAGGCATGATGACTTGTGATTTGCCATACCTTGACTGAATCTGATATTTCCCAGGCGTACTTTTTTTTTTCATTTTTGTATTTAAAAAAGGTTTGCACACATTTCCACAAATACTCTTGAATCATGGAATCGGCAACTGGGATTAATGAATTCCTTGATTTACAATACACTGCAAATGAGGGATTGGTCCACATATGTTTAATCAAAGGGAATGTATCGTTTTCATAATAGTCCATGGTCTTAATAGCCTTATCAGTATGTGATAATGTTTCAAAAACCTTATGTCTATGTACTGTTTGTATATGGAAAGAGGAACAGCCATATTTGCCCATTATATATACAAGCTCTGGTTTCCCATGCTTCTCATAAAGCAAGTCTGTGACGTGGCTGACTCGTGAGAAATCTCAGCTATTATAACGACAAAGAAAGTAATTTGTACTGCCCACTGAGAGCTCCATCTAATGGCCAATCAATAAATCACTAGAGTTAATGCAATAACAGAAATAAAAAAGAGCACGCTGGAAAAATATTTACATCTTATCAAAAATTACTTTAAGTTAAGCATTAAAATAATTCCAAAATATGTACTAAAATATTCTATACCTACACTCTAAACCATTCATTTGCCTGGAAAGTATCAGATCTGCTCAATTTACTGCACAACATCAACTGTTCAGTCATCTCAAATAGGCATACTGTTGTAGGGTTTTTATTTGTTAGTAAAGAGCAAGAGCCATGCTACTTTGGTGGTGTATGAAGTACCCTGGGCACTGTGTATTCCTGCAGGTTGTTGTTAACAGGGTTCCCGTAAACCAGAGGAAAAGGGGTAACATTTTAATAATACACATCACAATCCATGAATGCTCTTTAGTGGAATTACCCTTTAAAAGAATTCACCAGGTCCTATTTGCTGATACTTGTACTGTCTAAAGGGGTTGGGGTTATATACTGAAGTCTGATTGTCTGTGCAATATGTGCGGATCCAGCCCATAAAAACAGCACGGCGTGGGGGACATAACTCTGTCTCGCCAGCCCACTAGGCACTATTTAGTATTCAAGTTAGGACCTGATGCCGGGTCAGTTTTTATCCTCTACAAACATTCCCCGTTCTATACTGAGTACTAGGTGTCTCTCATATGCTTGGAGAAAGGCATGTCATAATGCAGGGGAAACCAACGCCCCGAGAGCAGAAGTTAAATGCAGCACCAGCAGAACATTCATGAATTATAATTGAAAAGAAATATTGAGGCACACAATGTATTGCTAGGAAGAGGACTAACATACTGATCTATAAATTTATGGAAGCCGTGTGTACGTATCGGGCGTATGCACCAAGACAGGTAAAGCTAAATATTAACCCAACTAAAGAGCAGTTTTCTACTCTAGTACACTGTTCTGCACACAAGTAAAGGCAGTTTGTTGATCTAAGGCAGTATGGCGACCTGTTATAACCACTACCCTCAGGGGTGCTAAATACTTTGTTCTGATGTTGAGCTTGTCTCTTTGACTTACATGAAATTCTGATTTTTATTTATTTTTGATGTTTTGAGTAAATAGGATGATTACATATGCACAATGTAGCATAGCAGTGACCTCCTTGCTTTATACAATGTACAGATTGATATTCGCTGCCGATTTCAGTGTCATTAGAATGAGAGCATGCCTATATCAGTTAGTGATGTATGGGTATTGAGCTTTTTGCTTATTTGAATATAATAAATGTGCTTTAAGACTTTTAACACTGAACCATAAGGTGCATAGTCTAACCTCTAAAACACACAATAGGAGATACAAAATGATTACAAGTTCTTCAGTAGAAAGTCTAAACAGCACAATTGTTCACACTTTTGAGTGCTTCCTTGATGCTGTAATGGTGGGTTCTGTCATTCAGCCAGTTTGGAAGGAAAAGCAGAACAGATTCTTATGGCACTTAACTCCAGCAGATGTAAGCCACCGAGGCTGCTTTCATATAGATTTTTTTCAAAAATAAAATGTACAGGAATATTAAAATACAGTCCCTAATCCTTTTTCCCACTGTGTAATTGTATAGCTTAGATTGTTGATTCAGTAGTTATTGATTATATACTATAGCAAGTATTTGCAGGGCTTAATAGAGATAGCTTGCAATTTTGATAAACAAGGCATCCATTCAGGTGAAAATAAAACGCATTTTGATTTCTTACAAGTTCAAAGGGAGCTGGAATGGCACCAAGGCGTGTGTGGGCACCACAGGTCTAGCTGCAGTGTTATAGAAAGAAGTGCTGATTGTTGCTCTCTTGTGGAAAATCCTAAGCTGAAGTAGGTTCTTTTTTTTAAGACTTCTGAGACGAGATGTGACTTGTATGTGCTTAAACTTCTGATATACAATGCCAGCCTAACTGGTCTAGCATGTTGCATAAATTACATTTACACCAAAATACAGCTATGTGCATTGAAATTCTCTTCAGAGGTTCAGTACCACGGGTGTTGACATGCAGACTGTCAGGTGCCTAGATTTCCACCAGGTGGCACTGCTGTCCTTAAAATTAAACATTACAGTGGTCCAAGGAAAAGATTGCAAACTTCTGATTCATTAAAATGAAAACCAACACCAACTGTTGCATAAATACCAAGGCTATACACAGTTAAGGCAAATCTTGTCAATCCAGTAGTTTGGAGTCTCGCAGAGCATCGCAAAGGTGTCCCTGAGACGTCAGAACTTATAGTTGTGTTCCCAACAGGTCTAGGCTGAAAGAAAGAGAGATATGTTTTTTATTAGTTGTGCTTGTAGCGTATTACTTCCTGGAAAAAGGCATTCTAGTCATGAGAGAGAAAAAGAAAAACAGCCTTTAGAATGTTAAAATGGCCACCACCACAGTTAATTCTTGTTTCCTCAGTGTCCACGCACTATAAGGCCCCATTCACACTTGTGAATAAGGCCGTTTGCATGAGTCTCAAAAATTCCACCATGAGACTCGTGATTAACTGCGGGCAGGAGGCACTGTACAATGCAATGACAGCTGCCATAACCCTTAGCTATTCACAAGTAATTGCACATGCTGAAGTTACCTTGCTGATGACCCAGCAACCTAGACACAAACAGTCTGTGTCCAGGTACAATCGTCTGCAGGCAATCGCAGGATGTGTGGTTACATGTGAACAAATGCGGGCGGTGGCAGCAAATAGGGCTGCAACAACTAATCGACATAATCGATTATAATCGATTATTGAAAAAGTTGTCAACTTTTTCAATCATCGATTAATCGGCTTCTGGTTAGTTGGCCCTGTTCACGTGCCGCACCTCCTCCCCACCTCACGCTCGCCACTACCAGACCCGCCCGCATTCACGCGCTGCACCTCCTCCCCGCCTCACGCTCACCGCCCTCCCACATCCAATTTGTTGTAAGAAGTTGTAATTTCATAAAGTTCTACTTAACTAAACTACATAAATAAGTAGCTGCAGTCAGTCATTAGGAGATCAAACAAGATGCTTACTGTGTTAGCTACGCAATACAATGCAGCTAATCATGGCAACATGTTACTGCATAGCAAATTCCAGAGAGCCCATTGTTTAGTAGCATGTGCAAGAGAAGCCTATAAATAAAGATAAGGAGTAAAGCATACAGCAGCTCATATAGGGCTTGAGAACCTAACCCCATAAGACTTTCAAAATGCCTGGTATTTGTGAGCATTGATGGTACTGAATGGCATTCCTCAAACTGTTGAGCGTTTTTTTGGGGGGGGGGGGGGATTGGCAGACAGGCAC